CATGTAAGTCTGTCTGTTAGTCAGGCTTTGTGTAGTACACTGTGTGTGTGTGTGTGTGTGTGTGTGTGTGTGTGTGTGTGTGTGTGTGTGTGTGTGTGTGTGTGTGTGTGTGTGTGTGTGTGTGTGTGTGTGTGTGTGTGTGTGTGTGTGTGTGGTTAATTTATGTTTTGGGTCCCAGGACCACATGCTACTTTGCTTAACTTCACATCATTTAGGAAACTGTAAACTTCAAATACCACCTTGAGCAAAGGTTAAGAGCCTGACTCATCTTTAATGGACCCCTTAGTGTGGAAGTGAGTATTTTTGCATTCTTAAAAACACATGTTTGACTTCATGGAGGTTTGTCTGTTGTGACATGCTTTTTTTGTGACCAGCTTTTACCTTCCATGACTAATCTGCATTGAACGTCTTTCAGTTGTCATAAAACTGCACCTATTCACCAGATCACACATTGAACCGAGCACTTTGACTGCTATTGAAGTAGAATGGTGGCGCTGTGTTTATTTGCATATGAAGCTGGACAGAGTGTTCCCAGGTGGCAGGAGATATATATGGAGATGCGTTGTTTTGGCCAGGAGTGAACAATTGTGCTTAGAGCAATACTGTAATAGAGGTATTCAATCCCTCTCTTCCTCTCTCTGAACTGGCTTTACAATTGTTGTACAGACACTCTTCACCTCTCTGATTGTATTCATTTTGATGTATATTACGAGTACATTTTCTGAGACTCTGCACAAGCATTTAGCAGTAGTACACTTACTGTACTGTACACTACGTACTCAGCAGAAAGACAAAGTCATATATATATATATATATGTATAATTTAGTTAAAGGGAGCCTTATTTTTTCACCAGTTTGTGAAAACAATGACAGTTTAAAGGAGAGTAAAAATTGCAGTTAGATTCATTTGTGTAAAGAAACAAGACTGCAATGTTCTTTCTCTGTGTATGCTGGTTGTGGAAATAGACAACATTTTGCTAATTTGTCAAATAAAACAGATTTCTAGGCTTGTGAGTAAGATTAATAAGATGTTTTGCTGCCCTCACATGGACAGACATTAATAGATGCCAGTCTGAAATCTGGAGAGACAACCTTGCAGAAACTGCTTTCCATTCACAGCATCTTGTTGACAGCACTAGAATACTGCACTGTGCAGAGTACTACAAGGTTATATAAACACTTCAATCTGATAATCTGTTTTAAATTAGTTAAAAAATCAAGCCGAAGATCTAACCAGTAGACAGTTTCCCGCACACGCCAGGAAGTGAAACATCCTCTGACACACGTACACTCTCACCCACCCACACACGCCTCTCCACATATACCAAGGTACAGATATTACTTTTTGGTCAGTTGAATATGTGTGTTAATGCTGACATTTGTGCTCGAAATAAGGTAAATAGCTCTTTCCTTCCTGTTTTTATTCTCTTAAACATTCAACTGGAACAAAGCCCTTTGTTTTTATGAGGCAAATTCTTTTCACATGATTTTAACGCTGTATGTGGGCAGTTGTATAGTGGTGCATTTTTTCAGAATACTGAAACATGTGAAAATACATTTTTATGTTTTACAAATGTGTGTGGTTTGGCATATTAGTGCAAATACATGTTGACGACATCTCAATTCTAGTGCGAAATATAAAACTGTTCAATGCTTCTCATAAACTAGATAATTGACAACATGTTAAGTTATCTGTGATTGTCATCCAGGGTGTATGATTGGACTTTTGTTGTTGTTTTTAAGGCAAGTTTTGTGACGTAGCAGTGTTGTTAAGTACTGGCTTAAAAAGCACTTGCTCAAAGTTCAGTCCACAAATAACACAATAAGGGGCTGTGCACAGGGCATACACTTGTAGGATAAACAAAGTTGTTCATGTTCATAGTTACTATTCTAAATTTAGCTTGTATTGTCCAAAAAAGGGAACTACTTCATGTTAATTTCTTTATTATTCTAGCTGCACAGAGCTACTCTTTTTCATTAGACCCATCATTGTAGTCAGCATTCACTCGCAAGTTTTACCCAAATGACATTATATAAAGTTTATATTATAAAAGTTTTATTGGTTTTACATATATCATCAGGGCGAGCTAGAGAGACAGGATGAGTCAGAGAGGGAGGAAGAGAGGGAGTCAGAGAGGAATACAGAAAATGAGAGGGACAACAAGAATAAATGTTGCCTGTGACCTGACCTTTTTTTAATTATTAACATAATGTACATATGACCTACGTGATTTATGAAACCTTTTTAAATATAACGTTTCACAGGGACTCCAATACTGAGTTAAAGAGCTTTGCAAAGCAACTTCACCCTTACCCTATCTCTACTTCATTGCTAACAGAGGTTTTGCATTTGAAATTCCCTTGCTGTCCAGATTCTGGCCCTGGTCATTGCAAACTGCCTCCTTGTCCTTAAGACTCTTTTGGCGCCAGCCTCCCTAACTGAGGTTCTCTGTGAGCTCATGGTTGAGCACCAGGTCCATCTTACAGCTACTGTAATCAAAATCAAACCCTTGTCTCGAAGGTTCCAGATGGTTAGTGGGGACAGCCAGCTGCTATGGACCCCTCCTCCTGGCTCCAACTGTGGCAACTATTAACGTCAGCCTTACATACAGTATATTAGAAATAATATAAATATGAAAGCCAATAGAGCTGCTCAACTTCCACCTCTGTAATAAACGTTATTAGTCCTCCCTGTTTCATCATTGTTACAGCTGTTCATTAGACTGATCAGTCTATTATCATACTTAGCAGTTACTGCTAAGACTACACATACTTTTGCGATTATCCCTGGCATTGTAGCTATAAATCTATCCTATTCATTGTTGTTATTGATCCTCTGTTTGTCCTTATCCTCCTCCTTCTCCCTGCATCTCCCTCTATCCCACTTTCCAAGCCCAACACAGTTTCGGCAGATGGCTGTTCAACGTGAGTCTGTTACTGCGCGAGGTTTCTGCCTCTTGTAAAGGGTCCTATGACATTTGTTATGAATTGTGTTATTCAAATAAAGACTGATGGATGGATGGGTGGGTGGATGGATGGGTGGGTGGGTTGATTGATTGAAAGCCGATGGTGATCTCTGTGCCCTTTGTGAAAGACCTCAGTGGATTTATGTACTAATGCAGCATGCCATCTTCAGTGACATACTGACTTCAGATTTGGGGATAAATGAGCGACAGATGAAGCGTGTCTCATTCCCAGAACTGCGAGCTACACAAACATCTCCAGTCCTTATAATTTGTATAAAATAACACAAAAAGGGTATGACCTTTTGAAGAAGTGACTGTTGTTTTAAAGTGATGGAAATCATAACTCAGAGCGAAATGAGGTGAAATACAATAAGAGAGTAAACAGAAGTTATCCTTCCACTGAGAGACTTACAAAGCCGTGTGATAAAATATATTGACAATGAGATGATATAGGTAATAATCACATACATTTCCTTTTGTGATTTGCTATATAATGTGACATTTTAATTTGTTGTTGGTGAGTAGCTGAGTCAATTGTTCATATGATTCAGTATAGTAAAAGATCTAATCTAACTCTGAAGTGAACAATGTTATGATTATTGATTAATGATACACTCGTGCTTTCAGCACACTGTTTTACAGTTCGCCACATCTATTAAGTCTAACATAAGATGCTTTTGCTTTTAACAGCAATATGTTCACTTCAATTTTCATACAGTTTTAAAGATGTGAACATGAGTCTGTAACAGTTTTGCAGCAGCTTGTAAGAACATTTACAGAAATTGCTTTCACAATCCAGTCACACTTCTCCATTTTAGTTCCCTCTCGTCACCTTTTCTCTTCCTGTTTGTAAAGCGGACTGTACGATAGAAGAGGATGTAGCCTTTGGGTTTCAAAAAAATGAGTCAATGTGAAAGTGCCTAAAAAACTTGCATCCTAATTTCTGATTTGATTGGTTCAAAATCAAGTCTGAGTGTATGGGTCCGGGGAGGAAATTGATGTAGTTCTTCTTTTTTTTTTTGCAAAAGAATGCTTAGAATAGTCTTTTTCTGTAAACAAACCTCTTCTTTATTGCTGAGAACATGCAGATAGCTTGCATCTTTATTTCTTCTTATCTCTGGTCTGTCCTGTCCTAAACATGTGCTGAAGCTCTTATTGTGAACCACTATCACCACCTTGTGGTCAACTGTAACCCCTTTCATTTCTTGAAAATGTCCTTTTTGATCTATCTATCTATCTATCTATCTAACACACACACACACACACACACACACACACACACACACACACATCATATATGCATGTAGGTGACAGTATTCCACGTTAAAAACTGTTACAGGAGTTGTTACGACAGCGGTATGTCTTACAGCACTAGACTGCTTTATGGCAGAGAGAACATGCTTTGGGCACTGTGTTATTGTCTCACCAGAAACTGTTGGAGTTGTATTTTGGTTTCCTATAATAAACCTGTGTGGTAAAAGTAAGTCTACCCTCGATCATTCAACAACACACAAATGCAGATACACACATAAATATATATGTGTGTGTGTGTGTGTGTGTGTGTGTGTGTGTGTGTGTGTGTGTGTGTGTGTGTGTATATATATATATATATATATATTGCCCCGGAATCATTAGTGCAGGGAAAAGAATGTGGCACAGTGAAATGTCTTGAGAATGTTCTATTTGCTGTTATTGGTGATTTACAGACCCATGTGGAACTGCACTTTTGGGATGAAGGTACAGGGCTCAAGCTGACAGTTCAGCCACTGCTGAGTAAATGATTCTGACAGGGGAGGGGGATGAGGGGAAGAGAGGGGAGGCGTAGTCCTTCTCCTCTCAGGGATTAGTGAAAGCTTCTTCGGCCATTTGCATGTGAATGGGACCTTGAGCTGCTTTAGCGACCGAACATCACCCTCCCTCTCTCTGTCGGTCTCTCTCTTTGTCTCTCACTACTTGTGCACTCCTTACACTCCTGAGGAACCAGAGAGGGAAGGGGACATTGAGGTGGTCAGAGAGAGAGCAAACCTAGCTGGAAAAGCAGTTTAGAAAGCGACAACAGTCTTTCGAGAGTGCCTCACTTCAAACCAGGGACTCACAGCTTGCTTTTTGTAAATGAGGAGAAGGTAGGATCATTCTTGTTTCTGTCATCCCAAGCCCTTGCATATTGCTGGAGTATGCTCTGTCTACTAAGCTAACAATGAAAGCTGACAGAAATGAGCAACTTTGCTGGTTAGGGTGGGGGATGATGCGTGTGTGTGTGTGTGTGCGCGCGTGTGTGTGTGTGTGAGAGTGTGGGTTGGGGGGTGTCAGAAGGGGGAGGGGTTAAGAATTAATGAAACTTCTATGCAACATCTATGAAACTATGTAATAACAAATGTAGTATCTGAATGAATGGCAACACAATATCTTTTGCTAAAGCGCATTTCTTTTTGCCACTTTTTGTTACATCACACTTTATCGGGCCACATTTTCCTTTATCCTTTTATGAGTTACAATCAAGCGATTGCTGTTGCTGTTTTCACACGCGTGCTGTTATTACGCTAACCTTTCTGTTTTTTATTACAAATGCAATGCGGTCATAATTCTTATTTTCATAAACTGCATCGACTAGTATATTTACCCGACTCAAAATGCAGTGTAACAGCAAAAACTGATTTGAGACTTACTTTTCTAAAGACCAAAGTAGCATCATGGACCTTGGAATAACACTTATAACCCAAAAAGTATTTCATTTACTATGTCACACAAAGGAACAACAAATTCAGCAAATTCTTAAGAGAAAGTAAAACAACCTAGGACTGTGTAAGCTTTTTTGCTTTCATTTTTGCCAAAATGTACTTAAATCACTGATTTATAAATAGGTGTCTAATACCACTTAATACCTCTTCATATAATTCCTGTTTCTTTTGAGATTTTGTATTCATGATAACGTGTGACTAAAGGATGAGTCCGGTTTATTAAAACTTGACATATTGCTACAACAAGAAAAGATAGGTTAATCAACAAGAGCAGTAAGATGATCACAAAGCTATAGAAAAAAAGAACCTTAATCGCCCCACCTATTTAAAGGCCACTTTATCACGTTTGGTCCACTGTACTTATAACATTCCAGGTGTGCTGACTTTTGGTCCGATCTCAAAATAAAATGGTTTGGATAATCTGGATAAAATGTTTGCTTCTAAGCTGTCTGATTCGCTGCCTGTGCGTGTTGGATACTTTTTCAGCATTAAATTGAAAAGTCACAGTCTTTAAGAACAACATGGTTATAAATAAAGACTGGATGGCAACAACTGCACAAAATGACTTACATCAACCTAAGGGGAATTATCCTCAACAGGCTAGCTAATGTAAGTAATGTTTATTAAGCTTTTCATAAAGAAATGACTACAAGTTCAAAGACCCAAACTTTGTTCAGACATTTAAAGAGAAGGCAAGAAAAAGTAGATTCAAAAAATCATTATGTATTAGTTTGACAGTACTGAAGTTTTTGCTGAATGAACAACTGGCAATGGTCAAAAAATGAAATGCATTATTTTACTTAGTTTGTAATGTGTCAGCAATTTACTTTCAATAAAATCCACTTGAATCACCTCGTAATGCTTATTAAAGGAAATCTATTGACTGGTCAGTGAAGAATACAGTGTTGTGTGTTCTCTATAATTTTGAAACAATCCTTGACATTACACCAACCTTACAAACTTCAGCAATTCGGTGATAAAAAAAAAGCAGTACTGTTCTGTGTATCTATGTATCGACCATATCTACGTATTGTAAGCTGTTAAAAAAAACTTCACAGGATTTTACTCAAAGCCAGATTGTCTCCTTCTGACTTTCTTTACTTGTCTTTCATTCAAAGTTTTGCTTCCTTCAGCAAATACTGCCTGAGGACTATCTTTATCTGGTGGACACACTGTTTGCTTTTCACAAGTATCTATAGTGACCACAAAGTCTGTCTGATTTGTGTCTGTCTAGTGGTTCATTTGTATTCTACATTTCTCTGTGTTTCTACAGTTGGTCGGGCCATCCTATTTCAAGGGATGTACTTTAAAGTGACAGTAAACAAGATGAATATTCAATGAAAAAAAACACCTTCCACAATTCCTTCTGCTACCTCATAATACTACAGTAAGCCCATCCCACCAAATGACAGACAAAACATGGACACACATATTACTGGGTTAGAACCAGGAAGTCAGAGTTGCCAAGCGTTGTCACTGCAAACTGTCTTTTCCAGTTCTGACATTTATTGCAATTCATCAATAGATATCTGCAAAAACGTTTACAGTAGTAGCCTACTTGTGTGCGCCCCACAGCCGTTGTTCTGTACATCTCTTTGCACCACCAAGGTGAGTAGAGATGTGGAGAGGAAGTAAGTGAGAGAGACGAGTTTGTGTATTTCAATACATACACTTTCACTTACAAAGACCAGGCCAAGAAACATATATGGATTTAGAATAGTTTATTGTAAAAAGCATGACAGAGATTGAAATTAGAAGTGAGGATGGATGATGGGAAGATCATTAGGGCTGATTAATGAAAGGAGTGAAGACTAAGCGTTAGGGTTTGAAACAGAAATTGGTTGTTTTTGAGGCGTGGTCTATTCTCTCGAAACCAAGTTATAAAAATGATATTTATTGTTAAAGTGTTCAAGGACTACCGTGTTGATGGCCCTTTTACTTTCAGATGTTTTATCCTTGTGCTACTCTCAGCTGTTAAGAGCTTCCATCACATGTCAACAAGGAATAGGGCAAGAAGGAACCTTAGCATCACTCTTCAGCCTCTTACGCACCTGAAGCTGTCACCATCTCAAAAATGCCTCTTCAGTGTTCAGTGCTGATTCCTCTTTTATTCAGGACTTTTTTTCTCCTCTAATTTCATTCTTTATTTTGGCTTCTTTTGCAATAAATGAAAAAAAACAAATACAAATAGGTGGGCACTCAGATACAGATCAGACATATTTTAATATTGTAAGTGAAATGCAAAGGTCATTTTAAATTTTGAATTAATTCTGATAGAAATAATGTTGCTTTTAGGTCTCTGCAATGACATTCTGAGCTTTATACCAAACAAAAACCAACAAATTAGCAAAAAAGATAATCAAAACATCATCTCACATATTTCCTGTTACGTTTTTAAAGGACTTAATTGTAACAGAATACATTTTATGAAAAATGCTGGACCAGACACACACAAAATAATGAATGAGTTAAATAAAACTGCAGCTGTAAATACAGGAACGGTCCATTTATATTTTAAATAAGGAATCTGTTAAGACTTCATTTCAAATTTTTAAAGATTAAACTATACAGGAAATTGAATTGGATGAAAGATACCTTTATTAGAAGTGGGCAATAACTACGCATTAAAGGCCGAGGCATCACAACTTTTTTTTCGTTGGTATAATTCAATCTTTAGAAATGCAAGGTACTGCAGTATCAAGAATCATCAATATGTCTTTGAGCCTCGTCATCTGTGAAAATAACTTTTTTGAATTTTCATTATTCATTAACATATACATTTCATCTGTGTTTTAGTCATATTTTTGGTTAAAGCTAATGACATCCTGCTTATTTAATGTTTGTTTCAGTAGAGTTTAATACAAATGTAATAATGATTTTTTTTTAAATTACTTAGTAAGGGTCTCTTACTCTGCCCTTCTCTGTTCTGACTGATGAGGATTAGTTCTGCTTTAATGGCTGTAGGGGGGGATATTTATAGCTGATTAAATTATGTGGACTAGCACAAACCAACAGCCAACACGTGTGTGTGTGTGTGTGTGTGTGTGTGTGTGTGTGTGTGTGTGTGTGTGTGTGTGTGTGTGTGTGTGTGTGTGTGTGTGTGTGTGTGTGTGTGTGTGTGTGTGTGTGTGTGGTCTCCGTGTAACTCTTTGGGTGTGAAGAATTACTCAAACAAACAAACAGGTAATTTATTTGAGAGTATTTAAGTCCATAGAAACGCACAGACAAACGCGCACAGACACACACAAGTTCAAGTTCCCAAAGGGATTGTCTGTGCCATTAAATCCTATTACAGCTCCGACCAGACTGCACACACACACAAGCTCTGAAGAGGGAGGGACTTCTTTTAAAGAGCATGTAAACTGTGTTAACCTTGGAAAACCATATATAGTTTCTCATCATGCCTGATGACTGTTTGCACATTATGTTACATCCCATGAAAGTATAACCTTCATTCATTATAAATAGTTTTTGGAAAGCTCAGCATCTACACCAAATCATCTGAACGTATTTATTTGCATGTTAAGTCAGTCTCCTATTTGTATCAAAAAGCAGTGTGGATGTGTGTGTTGGCACATGTGCCCTATTTTGTCCAGCTACCCCTGGTTTCAAGCTCACCTTATGAAAACAGTCAATGTTTCTCTGTATTTCCAGTATTAAGCAGTAGACACAACATGTTGACAATTACTTTTTTCTATTTTAAATTGCATCATATATGACTGTTACAGAATACTAGCTTTATTTACTTTCATCCAAAAATACTGGCATGGCCCTCCAAAAAAAGAGAAACAGATGTGAATCGTTTATGATATTAATCGGGGTTTTTTTACCTACAGAAGCAGCGGAAGAGCTTGAGACGGACTCAATCACCCCAATGGAGGAGAGACCGGAGACGGGGGGAGGCGGTGTGGTACATGAGCAAGGAGACAAAGGCAAGAGTCCAGGACAAGCTGCAGGCCTGAATACCTGGAATTCTATTACAGAAATTGGGAAAAACTGTGTTGAACTCCGATCAGAGATGGATGAGAAGGGGAAGGAGAAGGGAATGGAGGAAGGACAGATGAAGAAAGAAATTGAGCTAGAGGCAGAAGTTAAGGTGGAGATCTGCCAGTCAGTCCAAGACCTGCAGATGAGCTTCATCAGGGGCAGTGACCTGTTTGGCTATGTGGGCATTGAAGCAGTTCTGGACCAGATGAGGAGCAAGATGATGAAGGCAGGTGTTGAGTTCAACATCATGGTGGTTGGTGAGTCTCACACACATGAACACTGACCCAAACAATGGCAAGCTAATAATCACGAACTCTTTTTTAATTACATGAACATATGTAGGTTTGAACTCCCTTGCTGCAGCAGTTTGCTCCAAACTGTGTCTTATTTCTTACAATTTTTCAGTTTGACCAATGACATATGCTTGATTAAATTTATTTCAGACATATCAAATAAAATCAAACATATCAAAAATACAAAACAAAATGAAAAGCACGAAAATACAATAAAGAAAAAACAATGTTCAAATTATTTCACAAAAAAAGAAAAAGAAAAAGAAGATTACATATATTCAATTGTTATGCCTGAAAAGGAGTAGGAAGAAGTATAAAACTTATTTAATCCTACCCCTTTTCCACAGCTCAATAATGAATATTTATTAAATTAAATTCCTGTGTTCCTTATAAGCTCTCTATATATACAATCTATCTATATACAAATTGCTATACTATATTTATGATACTATATTTGATATTTACAATCCAATGATTTTCCAAACATATATACAACTTGATATAATATGATTTTTTATAATTTATAGAATCCATATATCTATATATACATATCTATTTGTACAATTTGATGTACTATATATATATGATATATGATATATTTGATATACATATGATATGGTCAAGATGTTTGGACTGTGCAAACACACAGCTTGTGTCATACGTGTTTCTACAGTCATTAGGTTATGTTGTGATATCAAGTCTGTAAGCTTTGATGATGCCATGTTGCCATGTACAAGATTAATATGACATCTTTACATGAAGTCCAACACAGTGAGAGAGTTGTTGTTTTCTTGGTTCTTGGTCTATGATGCTCTATAACAAGCTACCCAACATGTTCTCTGGTAGTGAGAGAGAGGAGGTACCTTTAAGTGATTATCTTATAAAATATTTGTGCATTCGAATGAGAATGTGCTTGCATGAAGAGACAAAATGCAACACATGCCTTGGAACAAATAACATGCCACTTTGATCAGTAAGTTTATGTGTTATGTTTGTTTGTTATAATGTGCTCATGTCAAGGTAGCCATTTGATCAATGTTAGAAATTGACTACCAAAAGCTTTTGAATTGTAATCTCCAGACATGGAAAGAAAATATGCAAAACACACACCCTCATGCAAACACTTGCAGAAAGGTTGAAGCAGAATTTTTTTTTTTTTGGTTTCATGTATCTTCAGGTCAGAGTGGTTTGGGGAAGTCTACGCTGGTCAACACTTTGTTCAAGTCCAAAGTCAGCCGGAAGTCCTGCACACCTAACTACGAAGAGACGATCTCAAAAACTGTCAAACTGCATTCAGTCAGCCATGGTGAGTCTCCACACACAGTGTGTGTGTGTGTGTGTGTGTGTGTGTGTGTGTGTGTGTGTGTGTGTGTGTGTGTGTGTGTGTGTGTGTGTGTGTGTGTGTGTGTGTGTGTGTGTGTGTGTGTGTGTGTGTGTCATACAACTTCTCCTTTCTTATCTCTATTAGTTGGGAGTAGTTGAAGGTGCTTTATAATTAATAGAAGAACAGGATAGTAAAATAAGATAAGTAAATTTACTTAATTGAAAATGGTCACAGTGATGGCATCTCAAACAGTCTTGGGTTCGATTTTTATCACATTCTGAGCTCTCAGATAATTGATTCTTGATTTTGTGCACACACAGCATTATACATACAACACAGACATACAGAGTCACATAAACAAACCAATGAATGTGCTATCAAGTTTTGATGGTCATTTCTGTGCCTACTAGGGCAGGGGTTCCCAAACCTGCTTTCAAAAATGCTGCGTTTGTTGCGATACCGCGATACCTCACGTGCTCGTCACACGTGCTCGTACGTACACAAACGAGCACCATCATCATCGGCCGCAAAACACTGGATATTTACCGACATAATGTTTACAGAGGAGGTAAGTGGTCATACACATGTGAAAGTCTGTGAAGGAGTCTGTGTGTCTGTATTCATTCTCCATCCTATAAACGACAGTCTCTGCAGGCACTGGCTGAGAGCAGGAGTGTGTGATGAGTTTGTCCGCCTTTGAGAGCTCGTAGGGCGGATAGAAGTGTGTTGAATTCGGCCTCTGGCTGTGGAGATGAATACCGGGAGTGTGTGATGAGTTTGTACTGTTGATCTCTATAAGCGGATCGGAGTGAGGAGGACGTTGAAAACATGTATAAAATGTCACTTCCTGGAGCTTTCGTGGAAAATACGACCCGGGGAAACATTTTATACAGGCAACACAGATAGACGGTGAACATCTACTTTTTTACATCAGTTAACCGTTCACTTATTAATGGGCGATAAAAAAAACATTTATACATTTAAAAAGTTACATACAGCCCCTTTAAGTTATCCTTTCCAATTTTTTAATCTGAAAACTGACACAATTTTGCGACATCTCATGAAAAGGTCATTACATTCAGTAACCTTCAGCATAGCCTGTTTTAGTCAAGAAAAGCCTAAATTAGTCCAAAATTGAGGCCTCTGGGCCCTTGAGTTTCCAGGGAAATAATCCAAAAAGATTATTTTTGCAGAAGCAGTCTTTCACGATTCCCACCTCCAGGTGGAGTTCTAACTGTCTCTTTGCCCATGTACCTGAGATCTGCTGTTGTATGATTATGGCTGTTAAAATTTCTAGCCACAGATCCTTTAACATCATGATTGTATATAGAACATTTGTGTTCACAAATTCTTGATTCTCTGAACCATTGTTTAATCAATTGTTAGTCAACTACTTTGAATAGCCTCATCATGATGTGCTTTATAACACAGTAAAGGAGTTTATTTTGTAAGTTATAAGATGCATTAAATTAATTTGCATATACAGTCCCTTTCAGTGAATAAGCCCTAGAGATGATTGCACAATAATCAATTGTAAATAAGTTCATGAAGAAGACATGCAGTCTAAGATGTATTTCATGTATTATAGCCCGGTTAAATCACTGTTTGCATAAGATTAAGATTAAAATTAACTTTATTGTCCCAGTGGGACATTTGTCTTGGACTTCACAGAGCTCTGATGCAGTAGCAAAATAACAAAATACATTCATTCATCGGTAAAACATGTCAGTTAAATAATCATTAAATTCCATACAAGTGAATTACTAAAACCATAAATATGTAATAGTTAAGAAAAGTGATAAACAGTGCAGGTACATCTACACATCTTCACCCTGAGCTGGTACTCAGGGTGAAGAACATGAGATGGGTCTGAGATTCTTTTTTGTGCCTGTCTGATTATGGTTTGTTGAAAGATGTCTTGGAGGCTGGGGTGTTGATGAACTCTTGATTTGGGCCTTTGACTGAACGGTCAAATTTCCAAACCATGCACTAGCGACACCATATCGCAGGAGGCTCTCTACTACTGCATGGTGGAAGAGAAGCTGCACTTCCCGGGACACACCAAAGGTCCTGAGTCTTCTCAGTTAGTGCAGTTAGAGCGTAACTCTTATTAACAGCAGTGCTGTGATTGAATCAAGTAAACAAGCATCAAAAATAAGCCTAGAAACCATTGTACTTTGAGCAGGTTGCTCGAGCATATTATTACATGGCTTTGTTAAATACTTGATTCTGATACATTCTTAAAATTGTGTATAGAAATATAGTTCTGCCTGTCACATTTGGTTCATCGGGAGACTTCTTTTGTGATGGATATTGAGCTCTTTTTTTTCTTTTGAGGATGTATTTTGGGGCTTTTTGTGCCTTTAATTGAGAGATAGGACAGTGGATAGAGCTGGATATCAGGGAGAGACAGTAGGGTATGACATGCGGGAAAGGAGCCACAGGTAGGATTCGAACCTGGACCGCCCGCTTGTAGGACGACAGCCTCCATACATGGGGCATGCACACCAACCACCGCGCCACCAGCGCCCCGTCACAGCAGCGCTTGACATCAACATCAGCACTTAATCAGTATAGATACGGGTCATGGAAAGTGTTGTTGTAGGATTATTGTGTGTGTAGTAGCTTGATGTTGTTGAATACAAATTGTCAAAACATATTGCAGACCTGATGTTCCAACAGTAAATGAGGTATATATATGAAAAATAAAACACAAAAAAAAACATAGTTTATTACATTGTTACTCTGGACATAATGGATGAGAGGTAAAAGATTTGAGTAGAGATATTAAATGGAAACAGAGTTCATTGAAATAACGAAACGTTTTGTTAGTATTAATATATGAATTAAACATTCAAAAAGGATGTCTATCTGATGGCCAGGTAACATCCTAAATGTCAGAAAAAAATTCATTTTGAAGCCATGTTGGAACCATGGCATCACATCTTGATTTGACATTCAAACGAGGTTGATTTGACCTATCAGAGCTCTATTTATACTATCTGAAGTGCATAGTCCAAAGCTCATGACACAGATTGGATTTTGCTAGTTAAAACAGCTAGTTTAATCTTCAGAACAGAGTCAGAATTGTTTTTATTGGCAAATACATTTGCACATACAAGTAATTTCACTTTTAGTGCAAAACAATTAGTAAAGGACTAAAGCAAAAACAGTAAGAAGCTTTAAAACAGCATTGCTCCTGCTGACAGGGCACTTAAATAGAATGAGATAAAAAAAATACAATACAGCAATATAAAAAATTTATAATTGAATATAAAAACACAAAATGTACAAAAATTGCTATAGAGTAACTGTGCAGTCAATTTTCCAAAACAGATTTCAGTGTAAACAGAAAATATTCAAGTCCAGTGTGCATTAATGTAACTCGTAAAATCTGTTTCAGCCTTGACAATACTGTTTTCATCTCTCACCATGTTCTTCGTATGAAACAGTAGCGAGCCGGTCTAACTGGCATCTTCATAGGTGAAGGCTTAGTAGTGCAGTAAAGCCATTTCAATCAGGAGAGACTTCATTGAGAATGAACAATTATTTATTTAACAATAAATGTGCAACAAAAAGCAAAGTCTTTGGGGGATTAGACTCCATCGTGACGACTTCATGTAATCGGAAGGGTAATGAGGCCGACAGCAGGCTAGGGGACCCCCCTATGGAGTCTAGACACTGGTGGTGGTGAAGAGGAATGGAGGCTATGATGAGCCTAAATCTGGACTCTGCTGAGCTGGAATGGAGGTGACTGAGGCGGTTGTGGGTTGCAGCGGTTGCCCTGAAATGACAGAATGACTGCGGAAGAAAGAGAACTGTTTTAGCATTTTGCCGCAGCAGGATGATTGGCTGAGAGAGGTTGTGCCCGAATCTGGTTGGTTAATTACTTAAAGAATAAACAGTCATTCACACATGATCACCAAAGCAGGTAGACGGAGGAAGTAGTAGGGGGAGCGGTTAAATATACACTTCAGCGAGATGGTCGTTGGCCACAGCCAAAGTTGCAGTAAACTGGTGGCCGGGTTGTTACAGCTGTATGTTTCCCTGTGCTGTTTGTCCTTTCTCCCGTTCAGTTGTCTCCAGCCCAGGTGAAGCCTCTAATTGAACAACAAGGCGCACCTGGCCTCAGAGCTTAAAAGCCCAGTGCTAGGTTCAGGAAGGGAGGCATTTGGAGTTGGTACTGCTGTGCTGCTCAGTCAGGGATTGTCTGTCGTGTTCTGTTACATTTGTTGATCTTTGCAATCATTTTGTTGGTGTAATAGCAATAAATCCATTCTTTTTGACTTTGTTAAGGTGTCTAGTGTTTCTGTACGGGGTCGATCTGTGTATCGTTGTTAGCCCCATAGGGCCGCTTTATGGTGGGGCATGACAAATGGGGGGTCGTCCGGGATCGAACGTCCATGAGGTGCAGTTACTGTTTGTTTTTGTGTAACTTGTGGCCTTAATTAAGTTTCCTTTCTTGGTCCCTATTCTTCCTCATGGTAGTATAAGTTGAGTATAGTGTCTGAGTGCTTTGAGGATTTGTAAGTGATCTCCCTGGTTAGTGAGGGAGTGGGCCAGCTGGGCTGATTTATTCGTCCTTCAAACGGTCCACTATTTTGTTATTTTGCCTTTTTTGTTTTTGGAGGTAATCTTAGGTGAGAGTAGGTGTGTCAGACCTTTTGATTACAACTGAAGGTCTGACGTTTGTCACCATTCTCCCTGGTACTAAAGGCCAGATCCACAAAAGGATCACGTTGATTTTGCAAGCGCTAAACCTGTGCAAATGAGAGAAAATCCACATAGCACGTGAAAGGGTGAAATGTGCTCAAACTGCACACAATTAAATGCAAAAAGAGGGCACGTTGCACTCAGCTGGTGTTTACTGTGTTGCAGTATTTATAAGAGATGTCGCTCAAGCTTTCCAGTTATCAGGAAAACAATTCCCCCGCTATATGACTGAAAAAACCTTGATGTGTAAATCATTTCTGTAAATATGACTTTGTAATTACTATTATTAATATAACCAGGGGTTCAATTATTCTGGGGCTGCGATTCAACATTTCATACACATCTGTGTAAAGGTTTGGAGCCGTAATGCACAAGGATGCATGTTTTTTTTTCTTCTTCCAGAGTTTCCCTTGCTTGCTCCATTCAGAGAAGCTTTGTTCTAAACAGGGAAACTCATTTAACATTTTTCAAGTCTGGTATCAATTTAATAACGATGATAAAGTTTCGCCTCCCCTCCTAGTACATCATCATTATTTTGGAAAAACAGCGCCATCACTTGAGAGTGCAGCTCCGCGCAGAGCAAAAGTGAAGATGGCTTTTCTCAACATTAAGAAACAAAACAAGAGCAAACTGTGCAGAGCTAATTCTCTACAGCCTGCGTAATGGACATGCATGTTGAGACCATGCAACCCAAACAAGCCAGATATGGGGCGGCTGTAGCTTTGGGGCAGCAGTAGCTCAGTCTGTAGGGACTTGGGTTGGGAGTCGGAGGGTCGCCGGCTCAAGCCCCGGCACGTACCAAGTCCGGAAATTGGCCTGGCAGCTGGAGAGGTGCCAGTCCACTTCCTGAGCACCATCAAGGTGCCCCTGAGCAAGGCACCCAACCCCCCCACCAGCTCATGTTTACCAGACAGAGTGTAAAAATGAATTTCCCCTCGCGGGATCAATAAAGTATAAATTAAATTAAATTAGATATGCAACAAAGTGAGCGTGGTTGTTGTAGTAAAGGCCAACCATTGAAGTGCAGCTGTGACTGTGTCAGGCCAAGGGAGTGAGCCATAGTAAGTGAGAGCAGAGGTCACTCCGAACTTGGAAAGCCTGTGATCCTGAGCTTGACCCAGTATAAGCACAATGTAATCATATCCTAACTGGCGACTCTAAATCTACGTGAGGTGAGATACAGAAATTCCATCACAATGGTGAGAGCACAAGCTGGAAAGTTTGGCATCGGTCACCTTTGGAGTTTTGGCCCATGCTGGGCTTGAGCAGAAGCAGGCATCTATCAGGCAAGAGATTTTTCACACCTGGATCGTTTGAAGAAGTTCTCCCGAAAGAAGGAGGCATTTTCTACTAGGCCTGGTTCATTTGGACATACAGTATGTGAACACAGCAATCGCACTCTGATGTGGAACAACGCAAGCGAGATTGTCTAGATGGGGTGGTCTCTGCTTGTTTGCAGTGAGAATGCAATCAACACAGCAACTGGCTAACTGGTTGACTCATCACTCAAGCAATCAATCTTTAACTGAAAAGCGGTAATTCATCATAAATGTTATCTCAAGACACGAAACAAAAACAGAAGGTCTAGACTGTACACTTGGCTATATTATTTACAAAGTCCCAACATTAATCCACCATGAGCACAGCACTAAGCAACATTTAGAAAAGTTACAGCAGCAAGGAAAAACTGCCTTTGAGGGCGCACTCACACTTGCCCAGTTGCCCCGTACTGTTCTGAAGCACGATTGTCCCCCCTTCCCCAGTCCCCCACAGGCCAGCGCTCACATTGCTCCAGGCCCAACTGATCACTGCTGAACCCTAACCCTAACACTGGCTGCAGATTTGAGACACCAGCATGAAGATGTTCTGGATTGTGCAAGAACTGTAAACCTTTCAGCCAAAGATCTGTTTATAACCCTTTCCTCTTTCCTCTCCTGTCTTTTCTCTCTAGTGATTGAGGAGAAGGGGGTGAAGATGAAATTAACAGTGACTGATACTCCAGGATTTGGTGACAATATCAACAATGAGAACTGGTGAGTAACGGGTCAGCGAAGATAATAAGGGAAAAGTGAATGAAACAAAGATGACACTTTACAAACTAGCTACAGGATTTTGATTTAGTTGATTTCAGTTACAGTAATTCAAACCCAGAGTATCATTGAGGGGAAATGGAGTTTTTATTAGGCAAATCCTAAACATTTATGACCCTATTGGTAAGACTGGACGAGTCAATCACAGTCAACTTTTTCAAGTATGTTTGTGGGAACTGAAAAACTGAAAGCTTCTGCAGTCTGTATTGGATAAGCCACTGAACCCCAAATTGCTGCTGTGTTGGCGTGCGACTGTATATGAATGGACACTTTACACACAGCAGCCTCTGCCATTAGTGTGTGAATGTGATGTGAATGGTAAAGCCATTTAGAAGACTAAAAAGGTGCTATTCAAGCACAGGCCATTTACCATTTACCATATGGACATCCATATTACCTTGCATCAGAACTGCTTCAGTCAATGTTTCACCGACAAATTCAAGATTGTGCAAACCCTTAAATTTTTTTTCCCCAAATTGTTCATTTAACTCCCCCTAGTCTTATTTTATTTTGTTTGATTGATGTTTTGAATTTTCAGTTAGTGCAGCTCAAAAAATAAAGGGAGTAAGAGTTGTTCATATGTTGGCTTTGTTGGCTACAGAAACCCAAAAAAAGTAATCATATTTCAATTCAATGCAAAAAACTTTATTCGTCTCCGGGGGCAATTCAAAGGCACACAGAGCTGTAAATTAACAACAGTGCAGGCAGATAAAAAATATAAACCAAAAATATAAAGTGTCAATTTAAATACCAAAGTTAAAAGAGTATAGATAAAAAAGAGTTGATATGTGTTGACAGTGCATGCAGTGAATGGGAATTAAATAATATACAGTATGTATATATATATATATATATATAGAGAGAGAGAGAGAGAGCTATTTACAAGTTGGTGTCATATATTTAAGTGAACTTTTTTTGGAGTTGTTGTTTTTTATTTGGTCTGTAAGAAGTAAAGTAAAAGTAAAGCAGAAGTAAAATACTTTGTCAGTTGTATTCAAGAATAGGTCACAGATTTCTTCTGAGTTTTCTTGTCTGTTATCGATCAATCAATCTTTATTTTTATAGTGCCATTTGTTTAACATGTGTTATACTCTTTGTTATAATAAAATACAAAAGAACAGGTAAAAGACCTTACATATTGTAATATTATGGTACAAAAAAGCAACATTTAGCAAAGTTACAGTGTAAAAAAAAAAACTTCATTCTAAGAGGCAGAAATCGTGGGAAAATATGTTTGTCGTGCAAAAATATAGCAGCAACGATCCAGAGGGACCTAAGAGACAAGAAAGCTATGGAGCTCCCAGGAAAATATGTGGTTAGTAACTAGATTAATGCACTGTCCTCAATTTAAGGGACATTGTGTAAACATGTCAAGGTATTATTGTTTACATCTAGTATGGATAAAATAACCGAAAACAGGATCAAAACCTCAGACTCAGCCATGTATTTTAAATTCTCCAGTTCTTGTGACTGTCTTCTTGTCCCTACCCCTTACTGTTAATATTTGTGGTAATATTTTAGGATGCAGACTATCTGTGTTTTTTTCTGTAGACTATAGTCTCTTGATGTCATTACATAGTCTGTCTTGCACAGTGTGCTTTGACTCTGTAGCTTACAATATACTCTCAGTATCTGCAGTACATGTTGCAGTGCATCATACCTGAGCAGATGTTGCTCTGCACTAGAACTGGTTGACAACGTATAAGAATGTTTACTACTTTAGATAAAGTTACAAGTTAAAAAAACAGCCTCTTGGCATTCCTTAGCTTAGCCGTACTGGTGCCAAAAATCAATGGAAAATCCACGCAGACAAGGTGTATTTTCATCTTGCTCAAAAAATACATTTTTGAAACGAAGATTTTTTTTATAAGCCTTAAAATTCCCCTATCAATCTTGGTTTGACCATCAACTTAAAATGTGTGTTATATTTTGACTCAATTATACACCATACTTCTGTACAAAAGGAACACTACTATGCACAATCCTTAAAACATTCACGTTCACTTTTTTTATAGGGGGGGCTTGTGTCCTTTGTTAGAAATGAACAGTTTGTATTTAAAAGTTTCTGGTCTATTCACTAGTGAAGTCTGAAATTATTCATAAACAGAGAAGCACAAGTGGATTTTTGGTCTTTCCTTACAGATTTGTGTATGAATAAATAATATACTGTAGAACATTGTCAACCTTATCCTTCAATGAAATTAACAGAATATCTCTGTCCTCCTCCGACACTTCTCTGCTGCTCCACTTTCCAGTTGGGAGCCAATAGTGAAGTATATCAATGAGCAGTATGAAAAGTACCTAATAGAGGAGCTGAATGTCAACCGTAAAAGGAGAATACCAGACAGCAGAGTCCACAGCTGCATCTACTTTCTCCCTGCCACAGGACACAGGTCAGTACATATACAGTATTTAATATTTCAATGACAATTGTTTGTACACTGTGAAAAATGACAAAGTGTTCTTTATGTTTCAAAAAGAATAAGGTTAAGTTCTGTGAACCAGCTGCCAAGGCCCAAGAAAACCTGTGTGAAATTTAAATGCTGGTTTCTGTTTATCTTTAAAGCTTCAACAAAAAGTAACAGATAGAAACTGAATAAACACAATTACAAGGCTCTTAAAGGTTTTTTTTTTAAACATTACTCTACTTGAAGATAGAGCCAAGAAAAAAGATATGAACTCTACTCACTACATTCACGTAGTCTTACACAGGTAAGGATGACATTGAAATTAAACTAAAAATTCTTAACCTTTAATAATTTAGCCATACAAAAGGTTAAGAGTGATAACGGGAGAAAAGCGACCTCTACTGCTTAATGTGAACATAGTGATGGTCCAAAGCAATTTCAACACGCATTCAGTCTTGAGGTCCCTGTCAATCAAGCAAACATGCTCAACAATATTTTGCTGACCAAATACATTTATTTGTTTCCAGGTTACGCCCCATCGACATTGAATTTATGAAGAGACTGGGTAATATAGTTAGCATTGTACCTGTCATCGCCAAAGCGGACACACTGACGATTGAGGAGAGACTGGAATTCAAAGAGAGGGTAATGGAAGACACATACATACTCACAGCGTGCACTGGTAGAACCCTGTCTTTTCCTGCAGATGTTGTTCTGATTGTGAAAAAAAAAAAATGGTTTCATACTTGAGTATTGAGAGGTGGCTGTGGCTTCTGGTCCTCCAGAATGCCGGGGAAATCCCCAGCTCCTGTAGCCACATGTCCTCCATGTGTCCTTGAGCAAGATACTTAACCCCAAGTCGCTCCCGCTGCTGTAGCGGCGGTGTATACATGTGTATTAATGAGATTACATAGCAGCCTCTGCCACCAGTGTGTGAATGGGTGTGAATAGGTAGGTATGACCTGTGTTGTAAAAGCACTCTTGAGTAGTCAGAAGACTCAAAAAGGGATATACTGTATAAGCTCATACACCAATTTTGTCTTCTCTACAACATCTGTCACCATGCATATTTTAAATTGACATATTTCTACATTAGTATTTAGCTTTCAGTGTAAACCTGTAAACCTGACTTGTTTAACCTGTGTTTAACCTGTGTTTAACCTGTGTTTAACCTTTGACAGATAAGGCAAGACTTGACAACCAATGGGATTTGTGTTTATCCCCTGAAAGAGTATGATGAAGATCCAGAAGAACGAATCCTCAATAACAGAATCAGGGTAACATCTCACAGTAGAAACTTTTCTCTTTTTATCTTAGTTATACTGGTGAAGTTGTTTTCAGGAAACAAGTAAATTTTTTGGGGAGAAATCTAAATATTACAACCTCAGTGTAATTTGGTTGTTAAGTTTAACTTTCAGTTTCACATATTCACATCAACCTCAACACTTTTCAGTTCTAATACATGAATATCTCAGACCAGACTTACAGTGAAATGCTAATATTCTGTTTCCAGGATAACATTCCCTTTGCTGTGGTGGGAACGGACAAGGAGCACCAGGTGAATGGAAACAAGGTGCTGGGTCGTAAAACAAAGTGGGGAATAATTGAAGGTAAGGCATCTGATTTAATCTTTATGCATCATGCTTCTTACCTTAGATATTTGGCAACAAATAGCACACTTTGCTCATATTGAGCTAACCAGATACATAGTGGTTTTGGAGGTGGTTTCACACAAAGAATAAAGCATTCACCAGAATTATGGTGATAGATGTCATCACAATAATGCAGTATTTCAAATAAAGATTGAATGCAAAATGTATAAAAAGCTCAAAAATGTGTAATTTTATCAAACATCTATTATGCTTAAACTTAAAATTAGATCTTTATTTAGTTAATTTTCATTGGCTAATATAAAGTGAAGCATTGTGATGTACAAGGGGCTTGATTTTTTTATGTGTAAAATATCAAGAATCTTCCTGAGGACAATGATGATGCATTGCAAGTGTATAGTGTTAATTAAACACATATGGTACGGTCATTTATATGGTTTATTTGGTTTTAACAGTTGCTATGGTGCCACAATCAGGAATTTAACCAGTGAGGCCAGTAAACAAGTTATGCATACTATGTTGGATTTCTATTTTAATTTTTTTATTTATAATAAAACATTTGATATCAATAAATTTGACGTATAAAGTATAATACCTTCAGAATTAAAAAACAAAAAATACAAGTCATGTTCATCACTTTGAAATGCCCCCTGGAACTCATTTTCAATACACTGTTGAAAAACATCAAGATTTAAGAGTTTTTGGAATTTCAATAAATGTTCTCAGAGTAGGTAGAGGCAATTACATAAATATATTAAAATGGGACATTTATCGTACACATTTTAACCATGAGTTTAGTTTAGTTTAGTCTTACTTAACTGACAAGCTTAGGAAAGTAAAAACAAATTAGTTGATACTTAAGTCACCATTTTAAATGCTCTCATTTGGACACATGGTCTCAAAGTTTGTACCTTTAAAGCTGACAGTAAAACTTATCTCTTTCTCTGTCAACAGTTGAAAATGTGGCACACTGTGAGTTTGTCAACCTTCGGGACCTACTTATCAGGTAAGATTTACTGCACTTCTACAGTTGGTTTTTTATGAACTCTGATGAGATTTGAGTAACTTATGAGGACATTAGAAGCAATTAGATAGAGGGGATCATGGTGCCACCAAGCGGCAACCTCCGGTCTTGAATAATGAGGCTAGTGCAGAAGTGGAAAATCCTGCAGTTACTCGAGTGTCCGCTTGAGGCTGGCTCCAGGAACACAGGAAGTCACATACACATGGCTGGCAAAACAGCTGTTTTTACAGCATACATTAAAATGTTACAGCCTGGTACGAACAACAAAATAGGTCTGATTAGTTATTGTCATCACTGACACACACTGTGCAGGGGTGACTTTTTTAAAAACTGCTCCATTTTCATTTTGAAAACAATACCTGTTATTAGGTGCTTAGCTGACATGATTGACAGGTGGAGGCGATGTAACAGTTTGTCAAGAGGCTTAAAACCCACCTCCTCTTCGGCTCTATGCCTGTTGTAAGCTTGACTGAAAGTTAAGGTGAGTCAGCATTTCCAGCATGGCGGCGGTTGCCGATGAGCCTCCGGAGCTCCCTGCCGTAACAGATGGCTGACGTCACTCAGGCTTCTATCATTAATATTTACAGTCTTTGGGTACCACACATTCAGTAGAGATGTCAGGGTTAGTGTAACACTGTATTAATGCCAGCATAGGTCAAAAAATAGAAAACATTTGAAGTATTTATGCCATACCAGGGGAAGTGGATGACATTCCTTGAGAAAATTAACAATTTCTGAAATTAAAGTAAGTTTACGACAAAAACATGTTAATCCATTGTTTTAAAATCACACATTTTCAGAAAAAAGGAATGTGGGAAATCTCTCTGTGGAACTACATGGCCTTGATAAAGTTATGATTGTGGCAGTTATGAGGATTATAACACTAGTAATCTCAGGTGTAGCTGCTAGTGTTAAGGAATGAATGCAGTGTCTTGCAATCCCATAGATTTGTGAGAAGGCTGAAAAATATAAGCAATTAGGAGATTTGGACAAAAAAATATTCCAGCAGTCTAGGCCTACTGGAGGATAACTAATATCAGGTTCAGGTAACCAAGGTAAATCTGCTCTGGTGGAGTTATACAGAGAGTATGTCCAACTTTTTCAAGTTTTTTATTATGTTATTTCATTCTTAAGACCTTTTATAGTTTATTGAACTGATTGACTGATCGGTCAACTTGTCAGCAGAGAGTTAAATAAACTACATATTGTGGTGAATCTAATTTAAAAGTGAAACAGTATCAACATTAACTTTAGTCCTTGTCTGTATGTTTTTGCAAAGGTCTCACCTGCAGGACCTGAAAGATGTGACACACAATATTCACTATGAGACCTATCGTGTCCAACGGCTGAACCAGAGCAACGTGAACTTCAGTGAACTGGGACTGTCCACCTGGCTGCTGGAGAATGGAAGTGGGGAAAAATATGAATCAGAAAGCCACCTCTGATCTCTCCATCAGCCACCTTCATAGATCAAAACGGAGAATTGATGGTGCTCCTCATCTATTTAGAATGCATTTTGGGGAAAATAAAATCTATTCTTTTACTCTTTAAAAAAAATAGATTGAGAATTTTTTTATCTGCATAACTTGTTTTTTAATGGAACAAACTTGTTTATTTTCTTCAAGTGACAAATTATGAGATTTAGAGATATGAGAAATGCATCAAATATGGATATATTTTTTTAAGGCAGCCCATTAATAGTTTTTACAGATGGTGACCTGTACAGGGCAGTGAAGAGAATGCTGCAAAATATGACACAAAGAGAGGACGCTGACACTTTGTCACCCATCAATATCTAAGCTTCTTGATATCTCATATATAAATGGTATACTAATGGCCTAAAGTACGGTATAGGAGTTCAGGCCTGTAGTCAGATGAACTGTTATAGCATCAGATTAATCACGATCGTGTCCACATCACAAGTTCAGCAATAAAATAACAGCTGAATAACTGGGTGTCTTTATACTATATACTATACTATTAATGGGAGTCTACTATCTTTTGATACCGTAATGTATCATTTCAGTTTATGTCATTAGAGTTTCTGATGCTTATTCTGGGTCAATAATACAGTTTATAGAGAGAGTGACCCATATGGTAACTTGATTGCTCTGCACCATGTTGGAGCAAACAGCTCTAAGACTTGACTTTTACTTAAAGAGAGTTTTTGAATTCATCTGACATTACGAACAGCAATCAAAACAAGCAGGAGTAAATCTCAATTTCCACTCCTGGGCAAATAAAATTAAAATGATTTTAACCTATTTAAAGATTTTCGGCATAGAGCAAAGGTTCAATTCAGAACCTTTTCAAGAACTTCAACAAGTGCAGCTGCCTTTTGTTTTAAATTTTGAATTACAATAACGTGGATGAGTGAGAGCCTTCTCAGATTAGTGTTTTCCGTTCCTTCATTTTCAGTTTTAGCAGCTTTTAACCTTCTCAGAACTGCAGCCTTGGACAAGAGCTTTCTTAAGGTGGGCTGTTTAAGTCATTATACAAAAAAACATTAATAAAACATATAGCATGTATGTTCACCAACAATATATTTGGATACATAGAATGAACCAATTGAATCTCTTAATTGGAACTTTTTCATAGATTGGTGTTGCCTGCCTTTCATTAATTAATAAGCCTTCACAAATACGAGAGAGAGAGCATCATTTTGAGGGAAGACATCTCATCTGCCTTCATGAGTTTTTTTCCTTCTAAACTTAATTTTGAGTGTGGCCAATTAGAATAGGCATAATTACTAATGATTTCTGGTATACTTATCAACAAGTCATTGAAGTACCTGCCTCCTCATTTAAGTTTTGTTTTATTGCCTATTATACCTAACATTGATGGTGACACAACAAGTAGAGTAGTTATTCCACTGTCAGCATAAACAAGCTCGTCTGTTTTTTAATTGTTTGTTATTGGTTTGGCAAACAGTAACGAAAATGTGCCTTGGCCTTGACCCAACTTTGTATGTAGCTGTGCACTGTAAAGTGTTTGAGACAATGAAGCATGCAGCAGCAACAGTAGGACTTTCAGCAGGGGGGTGAATTCTTGTAAATAACCAATTCATGCCTACATATGGTGTGTGTTCACTGTTTTTCCATATTTGTAGTTATTGGGCTTGTGCTGTTTTGTATGTTATAGCCACATCATTTCTGTATACCAGTTCACCCAGATTTTTGTTTCAACTGAGCTAATGTTCCTGCCCGTACTAAAGGTACAATTTGCAATGTTTTCATTCAGTTATTGTTATTTTCCCATTAATTTATTATTAAATCATGTACTTCAAAGATCATATTTGACATTTCATTGTCCAAGGTAAGCAATTTAAACAGGCTGTCTCTGCGCAGTAGTTCAAGATTAATTTCATGTGGAAAAAAAAAGTCTCAAATCAATTTTGTCATTGGTTACAACATCATACTTAATGATGTGTAACCATTTATTGTTGAATCAGATCCAGACTGGTTAAGACATCTTCCAGTTTAGCAGAGTTATGGAATTATCAAAGCGGGGTACTGCCTACTTTTCCATTCAGAGCCGGTACCAGATCATCTCACATTTTTAACTGTAGGAATTTGCTTTATTGTACAAATAGTTGTATGAAATGCTGGAACAACTGCTAACTTTTAGATGAAAAAGCATTCTTAGCTGTCTTCCTAAGGATAAATTAAGGTTAAAACATTTTTAGAGATCCTTACTATGACTTTACCTTTTTCTGTCATTTATCTACGCATAATCAAAAGTGAGAGTAGGCTACATGTTTTTTTATATATGTCTACAGTGGACTAAAAGTAGAAACCCTATGGGAAAATAATCATGAGAATATTTTGGCTTGGTCACATCTTACTTGTTTTTCTAAATCAATTTTGTGTGTTTAGAAATCAGAAAATAAATCTTCCTTTTTTCAGTTATCACTCATCAACCTGGTCTACAAAGTATACCTTTTTCTTTGAAGGCATCCACAATGAAAAATATTGCATTTCATCTGAATCTGATAACACACAGCAATTCCTACTTTCAGTGTGGCTGTTCTCTTTCCTCTCAGCTCTCCTCCATGTTCTAAACCTGTGGTAAATGTGGTTAACACCCTTGTGTCTTATACTCAGCATGTTCTAACAGTTCCTGTATGATGTCTTTGTTATTGTTGTCTTTATTGTAGTATTAATATAACCCCTGCTGACACTGTTGATGTGAAATTAAATACTTGTTACCTTTCCAGTCCATTGTGAAGTAATTTTAATAAACATTCTGACTGTGGCTCGTCCCACTGCATCCCAACAATGGCTTTAGATCCAACTTTAATAACTACTAATGATGGTTATGAAGCTGCCATGATAATTTATAAAGTGAAAGATTTCAGTGTTCAAGGGCAGATTACATCATGTGTGGGGTCACGCAGGCAAGGTTCCATCTTAAGGTCAGTATTGTATTGATGATTACTGAATGAGGCCATTCATGGAAAAGTTCATGAAGTTGAGGACTGTCTACCTTGTGCTTTCCATTTAATCTGTATTTTATTTTTCATGAGCTCTACTGGAAAACTTGCAACACACACTTTTCTTTTCTGTCTATTCTTAATACCTCTAAATACCAATGGGAATAGGGAAATATGCATGTGTGAGAGCAACTATGCAAATAATCATCTTCGTTTTTCCCAGAAATCCGAACCGTTAACTGACCACATCAGGTTTTTGTTCACAGACCTGTTGGTGTGATGTTGGTATGAGTCAGTCCTTTATTTAAATGGTCTAAAACATCTGCAAAGTACCAAAGCACAAAAGCTGCTGGTCATCAGTCCAAAGATGGTCTTCAATCAAAGTAAGATAGTTACAGGCACAGGAGAGCTAAAAACACTGAAACCAAAACAGCACACACATTCTTCCATTTTCAATATTATCAGTAAGCTGTCTGTATTTATTTTACTGCTTACTAAAGTTGTGCTGTACAAGGATTGTAACAAAATGGTAACAAATTATGACCCAAGACAGTTGGCAATGATAGAAGTGACAGGAATCATTTTCTTTAGAAAAAGTACCCTAGATAATGTACACCAGAAAGGTTCACTGTTGGATGTTTGTATATGAGAAATACATGACTGTGCATGTCTGAGTTCAGAATATGTAAACTTACATTTGTATCATTTGGAAGCTTATTAAAAGCAAAGATCTGAAAAAGTGAGGAAAATCTGTAAAGATTAGTGAACAAACTGGGAGCCAGAGTTTGAGAAGGCAGCAACAGACCAGTTTGTGCAGTACACATTTTGAAAAGAATGTTTTCAGCATGATAGAGTACATTATGTCTGGCCCAATTATCTACTTATTATTTCACTTTATACAACTCTTCATCACTGACATTGAAATGGCACATGAAACATTTCGCATGCTTATCCGACACAGATAATTAAACAGAGGATTACAGTAAACAACTGTCAACTTAGTTTAATGAAAACAACATCATTCAGTAATAAAAAAAAAAATACAAAACATGAAATTTTGAATGAACCTTTCAAATTTTTCGTTTTTCTTTGGAAAAGCAAAACTGTAGTTGAATTTGATCAGATGCAGCCAATTTATGAATGAAATTCCATGATTTGTACAAACTCACACAAGTAAAGCACAGTAACTCTGCAAGTAGGCCCAGAGCAGTAAAATATGATCAAGAATTGTAGGTGTTCCTTCCAGGTGGCCATTCATAAGTAAGATGTGACATAATTATTAAGTTCCCATTGAAGGTTAATGTCAATAATATACTTTATTAATCCCCACGAGGAAAATTAAAAATCTGTGTAACAGCACATTTTCCATCTTAAAACTTATGCTTTCACAGAGCTAGTGAGCAAGGCGCTAGTGTAAATCCTGACTCTTACCATGTTTAAAACTTCCCTTTTCAGCAGTTTTGTCAATAATAAGCTTCCACAGGATCATTATCTTCTTCATGAACAACTCTGAGATGTAACCCTTTGCCATATTAACAGATAATGTAAACATTGCTTTTCCACCACAGGGTCAATCTTAGAGGTCAAATGATTTAATATATACCATACTCTGTATTCCCACAGTCAAGACAATGACAGCAAAATACAACTGTCACTCTGGTTTCTGTTCTTAATAATGGACCCCATAGCAATACAAAGATGACACACTAAAACAGAGGAAAATATACTTTGCGCATGATGAAATTTCAAAATTGAAGTCAGTCTTAATGATGTGGTCACTGGTGTTCAAAACAGTGTATTTTCAATGTAAACAAGTGGATTGTTTTACTAAGGATTCTGAAATGTAAAAAAAATAAAAATAAAGAGTTTTATAAACAAAACCAGTGAACATTGCATAACCCACTGCAGGCCCAAATTTGAAGCAAAACCCATGTAACAAAATCCTTTGAAAGAAAGGCTCCTTAATAAATAAATCCTGAAAATAAGCAAGACATTGTTTTAAATAAATACATAGATAAATAAATAAATATACTTATGTACAATAAAAGATTCAGAACCTCTAAAATTAGCCTATCCAAACAAAAACACAGACCAACCAAACACATGCATGGTCTGCCATGTCAATAAAGTTATCAGTCCACTTCAGTGTAGTCAGCTATCAGCCAGAGGCAAGCAGCCACATGTGTATGTGCTGTTACAGATGCATTTGGCACAATCTAACACTGGCTGACACTTATCCAATCCCTTCAGATGGCAGTCAGCAACATCTGGGAACACACAAAGAAGTAGAAAGCAGCACAGTGGCTCATTGTTCCGTTCATTCAGTCCCCTTAATAAAGAAAGATTGCGGGAATGGGAAACAATTTCTGACTGAAAAGTTAATTGATTTTTACTTGATAGCGTCAACAACCTCTTTCGATGTTAAATAAAAATACTTAGTTAGAAACGTTAAATCTTCCCTTGTTACGTATAACCAGAAACACTCTCAGAAGCTTTTAAGTGTCCATTTTTTCAAAATGAGAAACTAAAGCCTAAGAAAAATAGTACGTATTTAGCACTCACCTTCACCTTTTCATAAATAACTCTGAGTAATCTTTTGGTCTTTTTACAACTTGTCTGATCATCTGACAGTAGTTTTCCCAGATCCAGTGATGAACTTTCTAGTTACATTACATTAAGACTTTTCATTTCTCATAACAACCAAACTGCAGAAATAAGAATTTGAAGCCAAATTTCCAAGACTTCATCTTAAGACATGGAGTTAAATGTTCCAGGCATAACTTCATTCTTAACTGCCTCCCACAAGATCCTCCATCTATTCAAATTGTCAAAATAAACATGTAAATCCTCACAAGACAACAAGTTACACCGTATCAGGTTGAAAAGCAACAATTTATGAATTTCTTGAAAAAATGAAGCTTGTTAACCCTTTTGTAGGTTATTTTATGCTGACATGCTTTCAAAGGCATGTTTTCCCTTTGAAGGCATTTATGGTATTGAGTTCAATATAAACTCACATCTCATTTTATTTTATTTTACAAACGTTATGTTAATCATAATTACAATATTTCAATTGCAATTCAACCTTTTAGTGTTAGACCAGTCGTCAATTGTAGGGCTAGTGACTAAGAGGAGCATTTACATGATCCCATTGAGCTTAAGAAGGTTAAACATGATTCAGGATTTAAAATAAATAAATAAATGAAAGGCAATTAAATAAAACATTCAGAACAGTCCAAACAAAGTCTAATTTTCAAACCTGCCACTTTACAGGGACCCTGAGGTACTGTCACAGTATGACCCTGGTTTTTAGTGGACATTGATAATACTGCTGATTTTAAATACTTGTATCCCTTTTTACCTTTGAAATAGCATCACTGCAGCCAATGAAGATCATTTGTTTTAATTCGCACAGTTAAAAGATTGAGAAGAGTTTAAATCAAATGATGATGCCAAATGGGGATAATATCATGGTCAGTTTTGGACATTCTGCCCTCTCTTTGATTCACTTTTTTGTTCTTTTTGAGCTGCCACAGCAACCAGTTTCATGTTCAAAATCCCAACTTTCACAGTTTACAACAGCTTATCCTTCAAAACTGTAAATTCTGTAAAAAAAAAAAAAAAAAAAAAGTTTTAAAGAGAACATGTAAAACAATGAGCCCATTAACTTCAACACTGTAAACTGTAACCATTTTTCTATTCAAAGTTTTTTTTTCTGATTTCTGATAAGACACACCAAGGAAAAAGTGTGTCCAAAAGAGAGTCCAATTTACATACTGCACACAATAAGGGAGGGAAAGAGAGACAGAGAACTACGATCTCCCAGTTTTACACTTTATGGTCTGTATCTTTAGTTTTCTCTGATTCCTGTTTCTCCAGCTGTTATCTGGAGTATCCCTCTAAACAAGAGAAAACAAAACCTTTGTACCTTCTGAAAAAAAAAGAATAACAGCATTTATATTTCACAGAATGTAGGAAAAAGAAACATCATCACTTATGGTCTTTAGGACTTACATTTGTTTCACTTACCATATACAGTATGTGTATGTGTGTTTACAGTTCATGAGCTCACGTATGAGTTCTGCCATAGCAGTTAAAACCTTTAAGTCTTAATTTCCCTTTTATGGATTAATCTATGCTGTAACTGGATCCACATGTCACCCCTTTAAGTATCAATTAGCCGAAAAGAAAATATCAATGTCTTTAGAAATGCACCACTCAAAAAACAAAAGCCTTCTGTTGTTTAAAAAAAAAGAAAAGAAAAAAGAATCTGTCTGTGAGACAAGACGTTACACCAATCTCTTTCCTCCCCAGCGTCTTCTTAAACGAAGCTCAAACTCTATCCCATCATCCTGGGCCTGACATGTACCATTATCTGCCTTCCTGCTTCTCTGTCAGCCTGTGGATCAGTCAACTCAATCGGGTAAGGAGGAAGACAGAGGGCAGGTAATGAGTAACTACATGATATAGTAGGAGCAGTTCTGTATCTTTGCTGACATTTGAGAAAAGAGTGATGAAAAGTTATTAAGAAGAAGGAAGAAGATTGGTGAACTATTGGTTGTTGAGAGGGGTTAGTGGTCTTATTCAATGACCATGCAGTGTGGCAGATGCTGGGAGTAATATTTGAAGAGCTCAGCAGTGGCTCCAGGGCAGTTGGTCAGTTCCAGCTCCTCAAGCTCCTGCAGCTGAATGAGGCCTGACAGACCAGTGGTAGTCAGCAGAGGGCAGCCTGAGAGACAGCAGGAAGGGAAAAACTAAAGAGTAAGCTGGGTAACAGAAAGGTGCAGATTCAGCCAAAAGATTACAAAATATTTCACTGCAACTAATAGCAGATTCGTCTCATAGTTCAGTTACATTGTTTGTCTCAATTAATCAGATTTGGCAAAGTTAATCAATAAGTTAACTCTAAAATAAAGACTAAAATAATTCTTAATTTTAAAAAAAAAACACTGTTTATGTTAACAAAGACATTAACTTTGATATAAGTTACTCAGTTAATTCTGTTAATATTTACTAGAAGTTAAAAATTACTGTTTATGTTCACAGGGATAATCAAAAAAAAATTGCTTTTTGCAATGTCAATAAAATAGAGTTCTTAAGAGACCATGATCATCAAAATGACACGTCTGTCATGAAAATCTTCAAATGCTAGAAACTTTTTTCATATATCAACTCCACTGATGGCCGACCTGCCAGCAGTTTTGTTTTCACTGTCATTTAAACAACTGCTTTTCTGTATATCATTCATGCTACACATTGTTGGGAAGATTCCTGTGACTCAGACAATGATGTCTATTTTAAGATCCACTAAACACACAAGCCACAATCTAAGCATCTGACAAACAAACAAGTCTTTCTGATTCATTTTTCTTCCCATCTCAAGATTTACTGTACTAGTCTGTTCATAATATTCCAACAAAAATGGTCCTGCTACATCGGCAATCGACCCCACGATTCAAATCAGGTTAAAGGTTCAATTCCAACATATTACATCCATAAAGATCCACAGATTGCTTAAAATTATCAACTGCGGTTCGCCTGTTTTCTCTGAACTTATTCATGTACTCGTACCTTTCAACTGACACCTCATCAATTTACCATTTCGACTCAGTGTTCCTACTATAACCAATGAAAGCCTGAGTGGAGACTTTCTTTTCCTCCCCTTCATGCCTGGGACTACACATAATACAGATGTGTGAGGCTGACTTGAGTTGACCAAATTTAATTCAAGTAGCAAAAATAAGATTAACTGTTAAATGTTCCCATAATTAAATGTTCTTATTAACAACCATGTTCAAAATAAAAATAAAAAAAATACATTAATGCCGATAAATAACAGAGTAATAGACGTGTGCCTAGCTCTGAACTTAATCCATCACTCCTTGGTCTACAAAATGTCAGTGAACTTTAACAAATATCCACAAAATTTTTTCAAATCTAGTACTTTGTTTTGTCTCATTATTTTCATAAACCATGTAATGAAACTAAAATATAGTCACTTCCTGTGACTTTAAAATGAAAATGTAGGAAATTCTTATAAATAAGTCAGTGGAACAACAAATCATTTGGCATTTTGCATTTTGTTTTACACTATGACTGTAAATAAACATTACGAATAGTTGCAGATTATATTTTCATGAATTTACTAATAAATTGACGTTCATGAAGCCCTTAAGTAAAACATTTGCATTTTCTTACAGGTTGGGCTTCTATAAGCAGGCTCAGGAAGAGTACATGTAGATTTACATAAACTTCCACAGGATGGTTCAGTGGTTTGTGGACTTACGCTTTAAAATGTTGATGTAGTTACCTAAACCTAGCTCACTTTTTGCTCTGTGAGATTGCCTGTAAAATGTTTTCTATTTTACAAGGTCATTGGCATTTACTTTAGGCAAAAGCCGCCTGAATATATTGATGGCTGTAAGGTAAGAAGAAGCAAAAAACATACCTGCAAGAGACAGAAGACGGAGACTCCTCATTCCAAACAAATGTTGCAATCCAAAATCTTGCACCTGCAATTACACACCCATATACACACACAATCACACATCAGAGCCACAGCATCGAAAATCCTTTTCATCTTGACTGTGACTGGCACTTTAAGGACTATTGTTTGGACTTAATATATTCACTACTACTGTATAAATGAAGAATCATCACATTAGCATCAAATATTATGTTAAAAAATAAAATTTTAAGAGTACAGTTCATGATTAATGTTGCAGTATAAGAAAGGTCAATTGATCATGGAAACCCAACAAGGTTCAAACAAAAGTAATTATGGACAGAAACGGTTAATATTACACATGTAACCCATGTTGATGTTGTTGCTGGAATGTAGGTTGCTTAAAGCATATAGTGTACCTCATGCTTAATTTTCTGTTTGTTTTTTAACTTAATTTTCTGTTTGTTTTTTAAATGTCTTCATCTGTGTGTGTGTGTGTGTGTGTGTGTGTGTGTGTGTTTGTTTATTTTACCTGACAACACCAGCGCAGATAGAGGCTCCGTAATGATGACATGGTTGACAAGTAGCCTAAGCCAGTGTCTGTGATGCGCACACACCTACAATTTAACACAATATTAAAATTAGACATGACTGTCCCTTTTGAATAATTCACTGAAAATGAAAGCTTTCCCACATCATCAGTCTTTTAACAGACAACTATTTATATACTGTATTGTCACATTTCATAATTAATAAGAATAACATGATCAGTAGACACTCAAAGGCCCCTTTCATCAGCTTACATTGAAGCAACACTTAAAAAGTATGCAAACATAATAAACGTATGCATGCAGTAAAATGTCCCCTTTTGTCAGAAATGAGCACAAAAACACTCACCTCTCAGACATAAAAAAAAAAGGTCTCACTATAAGTGGAACATATAGTACATAAACTCCTATTTTGCATTCTAAATTGGATTATTTGTGTCTGTGAGTTATGTGAGATGCTGAATTTCAAAACTTCCTGGTAAATGATTGGACTATTACCTCCAATTATAACAGATACCTTACTGAGCTTAAGTATGCAAGGATACCTAAAATAAGTTATGGCTACTTGGCCCCTCTTATAGGTACTGACATGAAATTTACATCAGATACAATTTTATTCTTTGTCATTTCTTTTGAAAACTACCTTAACTTATATTTGTGTAGACTTGGGTACCGTTCATATCCCCCTCTATTTGCATTTTACATGGGTGAAAGCACAAGATCACAAGAAACTGACCTGTCCAGCACTAGTTCTTCCAATTTATGCAGGTCACAGGCAATGTACTCAAGGGCCATGTCAGTGATCCGAGGGCACCAAGATAAGTCCAGGCTGCGAAGCTTACGCAGGTTCTCAGCAACCAGCTCCACACCATCGTCAGTGATCTTAGAACAGCCAGAGAGGCTGAGGGCAGTCAAGTTGGGAAGGCTATGTACCATGTTGACCACACCGTGGTTGGTGATCTCCCAGCAGGAGTGAAGCCGCAGAGTGTGGGTGGTGTAGCCCTGTTGATTGGAGGGTAATTTTGAGTATGCTTCACTTGTGGCACATTTTGTAAACTATCCACTCATTCTGAATGGGAGGAGGTAGGTAAGGTTTCTCAAAAGTAAAGCATTTCTACTCTATTCCAAGAGTACATCCTCATAGCAAAATCAGAAATCCTCAGTTAACAATGCCTCAAACAAGGTTAAAACATGTTGCTCTTTGTATGAAAAACGCCAGAAATGTTTACTTTCACTCCTGAATCAAACCACTGACATTTACCAGATTGCCTTTTTAACATTATCACACAGCAAATTGCACAAGATTAAGAAGTAATTCTCCTAGAACCTATTTACATTTTTCCAAAACATTTGAAATTGCTGTGTGTCAACGTGGAGAGTACATCACCAAGTTGTTTTTACTTGTTTTGAAAGCCTACCTGTTTGGCTGTGAAATAGGCCATGGCTGTGTCAGTGACATGGTAGGCCTGAAGGCTCAACTCTGAAAGGTTGGGCAGGAGCTGAGAAATAGCAGCAATGGCGTCATCTGCCACATTAATGCAGTCACTGACGCTGAGGGAAGTTAGCCGGGCATTCAGACTGGACCACAGGCCAGCCTCTGTAAAGTCGTTGCAGCCTGAAAGTTCAAGGTGCATCAGGCCTTGCATCTGCTCCAACATGACCTGCAACAAAAAAGCAGTTTCAGTTTAATTCACTAATGCAACTGACAACTTGTTGCTACAAAGACATAAGAAGTAGTTAAGGAGAACATATCAAATCAGAAAAGTAATTAAATCCTGGATTTGAGAATATAAAGACCAACCACATTGAAGGAACACAAACGAACACCTTATAAATTTAGTTTTTGAAAGTACCCTTTTACTGTATATGTGCCTGTACAAAGTGGTTAAAATGTTATATGCTCTGCATAACGTTTGAGCCACATCACAGGACAATTTATGTCTCTGTTGGAAGAGACAATAAAGATTATCTGTCTGTCTCTCCTTCCCTCTATCCATCTATCCATTCCAATCCATCTATCTAAGTTTAGTCATTTCCCAATTTAATGTTTTTCCAAAAAACAGTTTGGCTCTCAAATTCTGTCACCTTTTAATGTGAAATATAAATATTCCCTTGACAAAAGTTGATTTTTGTTTTGAATGCCACCAAATAAAAATCTGCTCAAAGATTCAAGGCAAACCACTTCTGGGACTCTATTATTCATCCTACTATAAAACATGCATCATCTCTGACACTAACAACACAAACAGTGAATCTGAAGTATTACCTTCAAACAGAATGAATCCCAAATCAAAGCACATTGAAGGCCTCTGAATATTAGTGTGGTGTATGAATGTTGTGTTACAACAGCATCTAAAAATAATTGCTGCTTCTTATAAGGACAGCAAAATCATTCAGAAGGGGTGAAATAATTGTTGTCTAATTTGCCCTCAAGTAAATCTTTTAACGGCTCTATTTCTGTTTAAATATTTTTTACTGAGGTGGCAATAATAAAACAATATTATATATATTTTACTCCTTTTAAATTAAATAGAAAAGAAAAAGAAAATAACAGGCAAACATACAAGTCAACAGGTGTAGTGAGTAACACTAAATGAACAACTAATGGCTCTATTTCTATCAGTCAGAGACATGTCACTGCAAAAACTGCTGCTAATACTCTTTTTTTTTTAAATAACATTGTTTTGTTTTTCAAAATATGAACTATATCTTATCCTTTGCAATCAAGGCTTTTCAAGCAAGTTGTAGCTATTGTAAATAAACTCAACTCATCCTGAATATGTTTCAAATTAAGGGCTTACCCAGAAAGGCTTTTAGCTTGTGGTAAGTATCTGTGTGCAAATGATCAAGTTATTATGATAAAAACTTAGCACTGAGAGCAAATAAGGCAAAGTGGAAGCAAATGAAAAAAAGACACCAAAAGAAACAGCATTATGCTAAAAATCCTAGGAGGAGGCTGAGTGGTGTGGCCAAAATTATTAGAACACACAAATGTATTAGGTTTCAGTTGTTTTTGTTGAATTGGGCATTAAAATACCCATAAAACGAATGAAATATCTACAAAGTCATCGTTATGCTCTATAAATCATAGACTAGAGCCATCATAAGGAGATTTAGGTCATTTTCCTTTCAAAAAACAAGCTAGGCCTATTTCACTGTCAATGTCACACAATCATGTTCCTTCACAGAAGAAGCCAACAGGCCTATCCCGCTCATTAAGTGATTGGTAATATTAAGGTTTTGTCAGTGAGGCCACACCACCAATTGGTATAAATTCAAAGCCTCTAGAAGTAGTCTTGAAGCACATGTTTCTCTTCTTTGAATATGGCTAAGGTGAAGAAGGAGCTAACGAGTGAGCAACGGGTTCGAATAAAGGCCCTTTGGGATGTTGGCTAGAGTTACCGCCGCATAGCCAAGGACTTGAGATGCAGTGTAGGGTAAAGAAGGGAAAGAAACTGTAAAGTATACTTTAGACTGCCATGATGCCACCAATTCACACAAGAACCAAAAGGGGAGAGTTAGAAAAAAGAAACTTTCAGATAGACAAATGAAGCATCTACTTTCATCATTTTCATCATTTTCATCATCATCAATCTCAAAATTTTCGTTTTTTTTTTTTTTTTAGTGGCCCTAATACTCCGTCGTACAGTAGGACTCACTTCATCTGATATTTGTTGTGCTAAGAGCAACCATCTGCATATTTCATGAACATTCTGAAATTAAATCATGTTTCAGAGGCAAAAAAAGTTCAATATTTTTAGATCTGTCAGGTGTTATAACAATTGTGGCCACCACTGTACGTTGGGCTGAATTCAGAAAAAACAGGTGAAATGGCTTTAAGTAGGGTTAAAAATAAATAAATACCGGTAATACAAACTGGAAATTTCCCAAGCGAGGCATGTTGACTATTTTCATGGACACATGAGAATGTGAAAGAACCAGAATGGCTCTGAGTACACCTAAGAATGCTCTAATCTTCCAGGCTTTTTTTAGATATATACCTCACTTTTCAGACCAGGCAAAAATGATCATCTTGTATGTCATTTCCAAAGAAAACCTGACTCACCTCCAAACCAGCATCTGTGATGGTAGACCTCTTAAGGCTCACCGAGCGAACACCTTTCTTGGACAGTGGGTAATTGTCGATGAATTCACAAATGTCCAAGTCTGACACACCCACTAAGCAGAAGGACTGGAAGCCACGCAGGGCAAAGGCCTGCAGACTAACAAATTCCTTCTCCCCACTGGGCAACAGAGTATATAACTCCTTGGCGTGCAAGATGGGTGTAATGCTCTCCCAGAACTTGGGCTGGTACAGCACTTTGCGCCATGTCTTGCATACCTGTGCCAACACACATTTTTCAGCTGTAGTGAAATACCAGAGCAATCGGTTGAGCAGCTTCTCATCCAGGACAAGCTGGCGCTCCAGCAGCATAGGTTTAGGTAGAGTGAGAGGGGGAAGCTGACGAAGGGATGGCTTCAAGCCCACTATAGGTTTTCCAGGCTCAAGATCAGAGCCCAAGAGTGAGGCTGCTGAGTTGGGAATTCCAGGGCCGTCCAGGTGGTGGTGTTGAAATAGAAGAGATGATGATGGAGGGGGCAGGATGGAGGGTACGGAGGAGGACTGGCAAAGGCGATTCTTGGCAGCTGGTGTCCCCTTGGTTATACTTGCACTTCCCAGACCATTGGGCTGGCTGGGAGGCAGCTTAACCATACCATTGCGAGTCACGCAGGGAGACTTCAGCTCACTAGGGGTGGACATGTTCAACATTGGGAACCTAGTAAAAGAGAAAATATGTCAATACACTCATATCTCAAATACTATTCACACAGGACTATGCTGAACATTGAAACATATATTGATTTGAAACTATATGATATGAGTGAAATTTTAAATAAAACATTTTGTTTCAAGCCAAAGGCATGCTTAACCACTATGAATGTACAACGTTCCATGGAAAAAGCGATTACCAAAATGCCACCAAAAGTAAAACTAAACAAATTTAGTCATTGTTCCAAAATGACAAAGGCATTTGGGGATTGACTTTTCCATTTGTTTCCTCTAGTAAGTACATGATATCCTATTCTAGGACATATTGCAAAACAATAAGCAGATTTGATATGGCTCTATGTAATGTGATAACGATAATCCACTGGTGTAATACGTTGTGCAAAATATGTTCCCCAATTAAAAAACGGTCGGTCAATTTGACAAAATAATCTTTAGGTACGGTTCTTTTACTCATCAGTTTCAATCAATCAGTTTGAGTTTGCTCAGTTTGAGTTTGCTCAGTTTGGTAACGGTTGCCACTTTTCCCTTTTTATTACCATATATGGAAATTATCTCATTAAAATCTAGTTTGGATTTTTTTTTCTGTATCTTTGAAAACAAATGATGTTTTTGTTATAACAGAGTATACCTTAAACAGCCTTAATTAAATGATGACTATCTATCTAAAAAATGATTGAAATTGATTGATTGAAATTAATTGATATTCTATAAAAAAGACCATGGATCTACAGTATGCTGACCTAAACAAATCTATTTCCATGTGTTTGTTGTTGAACCACAGCAACTTGACAGAGCTAAGCAATTTTTAACATCAGGAAGCATTTTTCCCCAGATCTCTGATACATTTCTGTTCATAGAGTATTTATGTGAATTCAAGGTGGCATGATGAGGATGTATAAACACAAGCCATTATAACAAGACTGTTAAAATAAAACTAGATCGTAGATCTTTGTCGTACTTTAATTGTTTAATTCTGATCGATCTTTATTGGGGCTTGAGCACTGTCTGTGGTTCGTGGACTACTACTACTTTTAAGACTAAAGTGGTAAATGTTGCTAGAACCTTCTTGGATTGCAAGGACTAATTTATTAATTTTTTGACAAAATGAATTGAATATAAGCAGTCTTAAGATATAAAACTCTTAAATTTTGAGGCTTCATTCGTCATTAAATCTTTTCCTAATATTAATCCATACACCACTAGTGTAACAGTATGGTTCAGTGTCTTGCCCAAGTACACATGAACATGTGACTGCAGGAGCAGGGGATCGAAAAACCCCTGACCTACCAGCTGAAAGACGACAAACTCAACCACTGAGCAAACAAACATCCAGTTTAAACTGCAATTAAGACTAGCGGTCTAGCGTTCAACATGTGAGGTCTAGAGCTCTGCAGACCACTTTTATATTTACACCTATTCTAGCATGTGACATACTCATATTTCTTCACATACTCTTTTCTTTAAATTTTTTAAAAGCTGTGGAAAGAAGTTAGGCAGAGGGAGAAGTTCACGCATGATAATTCATCATTAACCATGGACCGTGCATCCCGCCCTCATTTTCCCCTGAGATGGGAACTCTTTGTATTTCTGTATGTCTGAAAAGGAGCTTCCAGTGACGCAAAAATCATCATTTTGTTGTGGTTAGCAGGGTGAAAATACAACGCTAGTTCATCATATTTTCGACCACTGAAGCCACAGACCAATCACAGATCAGTGAGTGGGAACTCACTCCCAGAATCGAAACTTAACGTCCGCCATATTGCTTGGAAGCTTTGCTAACAGGCTCTTTGGAGAAAGTTGATAATGGTGAAAATAGAAACATAGCGGCGAGACGGCTGCTGCCGACAGGCTGGTCTTGTGCTGGTTTTGCCGACAGGCTGGTCAAAACCAGCCTGTCGGCAGCAACCATCTCGCGGCTATATTGCTGGCCGCCGCTGAATGATAGCAACCGGGGCCGCCACTGGCCGCAGCAGCCGAGAAACAAAACCAGCCTGTCGGCTGCAACCAACAACCAATAACCCCGCATTGCTCCCGCTGCTTTGGTGGTGGTGTACGAATGGATTAGTGTTGTTCTTACTCTTTGATATACGTCGCTTTGGATAAAAGCATCTGCTAAGTGAATTGTAACATTGTAACATTCTCCCATTTAAAATAACAAAGGATAAACTGAACTATCTGTTCACATATCTGTGACAAAATTCCCACTCTCAACTGCTTAAGGCCAATTTTGTCCCACTCCTTGATCATACCCGGGAGGCTTGAGTCTTCTAACTTAACATAAACAAAGGGATAAAGAATCATTTTTAGTTCAAATAAATAATGAGACCATCAATGTGGTTAAAGATGTCAAGGGATCATTCTGGACTCACATCTACAATTCGAGAAAAACACGTTACTTACATCTGCAAAAACGATAAATCCAATCGCTTCAGAATCATCAGAAAGTATCTCTCATTTAGCACTGCCCAGCTCTATATTCATGCTATGATATTATCACAGTTATCATACTGCATCAGTTCTTGTTCTCAAGCCTCACAAACAACTTTGTTATTTAATGTAAATATTGCTATTTCTTGTATATATCCTATTATTGTAGCCCTAATTGGTACTTATTGCTTATTTTATTGCTCATTTTATTGCCTATTTTATTATCTCTATTCTATTTTATTTCCTACTGCTGTATTGTGTGAAGAGCAATGGTAACACCGAATTTCCCCCTGGGATTAATAAAGTATTTCTGATTCTGATTCTGATTCCCCGCTTGACGTCATCTTTTGTTATTTTAGTATTGATTGAGAGCCCCCTGGCAGCGGAATCTACATATTCTTTAAGGAAAGATGTTGCTTTTCAGATTGAATTTCCATAAATAAAACATCTCCAATTAAAAAACGAGCATTTAGCAAACAAATGCTTACAAACTGAGCATGTAACTGCAAACTTAGGTACCCTAAAACCATAGTTATACAAGGGAATTGAGATTCTTTGGAGCTTCACATAGCATTGATATTGTGGTGACTATTTTAAAACAAACCCTATATTGTCCAAAGCAGTCACCACTGAGATGTGAGCTGTGAAACTGTTTCCGGACGTGTGCTCCTGGCGCAACAAACAAATGTCTGATACTGATAGAGTCTTCAATCTGTTAATTTAAGTTCATGACCGGGGTTCAATAATGCCCATAAATGTCTCATTCTGTCCAATACATAATGGAACATAAACTGTTATATTCAAGTCAAGCCAAATTGTGATATATGCCTAACTCTACTCTCTAACACTGCTGATTCACTGTGCATTATTGCCTATGTCCTCAGCCTATCAGAATGCTTGTTATTCAAACATCATTATCTGCCTAAGTCATCTCTTTGACTTAGGCATTTTTGACGCTACATACAAAGATGGTGGCCCCCATAAAAACAGGGCTCTGCTAACCACAAGTGAAGCATTAGCTCTTCTCGTTGATTCATCTGTTAAGCTATCTTTCGACAGTAAATGTACTTTCAGTTGAACATTTGAATTATGAACAGCAGAGGTGTGGACTCGTATGACATGACTCGGAAAGTGTTTTTTCATCTTTTCTGAAAACCTTAAAATATGACCTAGGCAATGAGGCTAATGAAATGCTTCCAAACACACACCTGAATCCAATTACCTGGAGCCTTGGCTTTACGCACAGCACAAGTCAAGACTCCACCCAGTGTTCAGTATCAGAATTACACTTGAATTACAAATTCACAGTGTTGTGTTGGGTTTCTTGCAAGGATCAATAAAACCAAGCATTTTAGCTCCTACAGATAGTAAGGCATATGTTTTCATTATATCATCATATAGCAGACTATGTTACTGCCACTTCAGCTTTGTTGTTTTTTACGTCATGTCTTGCCTCAGGAGACCAATTGGCCCCCCTCCTGTCCAACAGGGATAGTCTCAGCGTATAAAGCTGTTTTAGTCAAGGACTAGAGAAAGGAAGAATAACATAGCCCACTCATTGCTTATTTGGATGTCATTTAAGTGTCTTTAGATTACAGTCATTCAGTGTCAATTTATGTACAATATGAAGCTACGAGTTAACCACAGTGTGGTAGCATTAGCATGCTAACATATCAATGCAGGTCAAAGGTAATTGCAGGTCGAGCAAAGGACACTTTTGTCCGCCACTTGTGCTTAATGGTGCATTCTAATTCATAACTTCTTCGTGCCAACGCAAGTGAAGGGGGGTTGGAGGTGTGCCGCTGGAGTAGAACAAGTTTAGTGCTGGTGTTCAAGGGCGACATCTACTGGATCAAAAAGTCACACATTCTTCCTGGGGAAATTATCTGCAGAAATGCAAGAACTGTCTTTTATTTTGAAAAGCTCACATCATCACTGATGTTGAATATGTCACACCCTTTTCTGATAACCTTATTCCAAATATGGTCATATTCTGAGTAAACAATAATCCAATTAAGACATGTGGAGTATGTCAATCTTAGGCGCATTATTGAAGATATGTAAAGACCTCAACTGCACTATCAAGTTCTTGCAACATTCTTGTGACACATACGGCAGTTACCAACACATTTCCCTGAGTGGGCTCCAGATATTCAAGTTGGCAAGTGGTAAGGAGATGCAGTTTTCGGGGGAAGGGAGAAGTAATAGGCACGATAAGGGTTTTAAGTTGCAGTGTGTCTGAGCTGCGTTGATCTGTGATATGTTGTATTGCATGTTATCAAGGACCGATGGAAATGTCATCATGGTGTAAAATAACTCTACTGATGCTAACTCCCTGTACAAAGTCAAGAGTTTTTAGGCATCACAAAGATCCACTTTACACGTAAATAGGAAGACAATTCAGTCTCTTAAAAAACATTTTTTAAAAGGGTTTTGCGGGCTTTCACCAAAGAAACAATAATAACACATGAATTTAATTATTTACTCTTATCAAACAGTGCTTCAGCTGTTTTATCATGTTTTCACCATGCCTGTACAGTATATACTGTATCATGCAGG